TCCGGGTGCCGTCAGCTAGACAATGTCGGCTGACGACCCTCAGGGGGAGAGCATTCTCTGTGGGGGCCCCTACCCTCTGGAATGAGCTGCCCCCGGAGATTCATAGGATTTCTGACCTGCGCACCTTTCGTCGCACCCTAAAAGCATTATTATTCCAACAAGCAGGGCTGGCCTAAATAATAATAATATTTTTACTATTTTAATTGGGTTGTTTTATTAGAATTTTCGGCCAATTGATTTAATTGTTTTAAATTGTTTTTAAAATTTTTATACTGTCATGGTTTTATTTCTGGCTGTACACCGCCCTGAGCCCTTCAGGAGAAGGGCGGTATAGAAATTTAATAAAATAAAATAAAATAAATAAATAAATAGGTTGCTTCTCTCCTTGGTTAATTTTCAACCATTGTTTCTTGTCCTGCTCTGGAAAATAGGTAGACCTCCTCTTCTTTGTGGCAGCCTCTCAAATATTGGGACATTGCTATCATGTCACCCCTAGTCCTTCTTACTGGTATGACTGGATTAGACATACCCAGTTCCTGCAACGGTTCTTCATATGTATTCGCCTCCAGCCCCCCTAATCATTTTTGTTACTCTTCTCTACACTCTTTCCAGAATCTCAACATCTTTTGGGTTACTTTCGAGCTTGCATTTTTAAAAATTTTTTTAAAAAATATTAAAAAAAAAAAAAAAAAAAAAAAAAAAACCCCAATCCAAAAGTAAATAGAAGAGCAGTGAGGGGGAAAGGGGGAAGGGAGAAGAGAAGTGAGGAAAGATAAGAAAAAAAAAAGAAGAGAAAAAGAAGCATTGGCTTCCGACTCTCTCTGTTACAGTAAAATAAGGCATTGACATCAAATCACAACTTTTTGCTTTTTCATAATAGTGTGAACAAGCCTGTCAGAGTGTTTATCGCGTGGCTACTATTTTCAGACCACCCAGGACACAGAGGTAGTAGACGGCTTCTTAAGGGGCAATATCCCTGCTGACTCATTCTCAGTCTTAAAGGGGCTGGTCAGCTTTAAATCTTCATTACCCTGACACTTTTGACCCCCTCTCAGAGGTGAAATGCTTCCGGTTCGGACCGGATCACCCAATCCGGTAACGATGGAGGCGGGTGGTTCGGAGAACCGGTAGCAAAAATCCCTGCCCCCACCCCCTATGCCCAGCTGAGCCGCGCAATCATCAGACTCTTTTTTTAAAAAAAAAAATTTAAAGCATTTTTTCTACAACCTCTTCGGCCGAAAAAATGCTTTTAAAAGTAAAAAAAAAAAAGCCTCTGATGATTGCGCGGCTCAGCTGGGATCGTCAGAGGCTTTTAAAAGCATTTTTTCTACAACCTCTTCTGACGATCCCAGCTGAGTTGCCTGATCAGCAGAGGCTTTTTTTCTTTTAAAAGCCTCTGACGATCCAAGCTGAGTTGCCTTCACCGAAGAGGTTGTAGAAAAAATGGTTTTAAAAGTTAAAAAAAAATTGGCCATGTCCACCCAGTCACATTACCCCCCACCAAGCCACGCCCACAGAACCGATAGTAACAAATTTTAGATTTCACCACTGCCCCCTCTTCTTTGTGGCAGCCCCTCAAATATTGGAACAGTGCTATCATATCGCTCCTAGTCCTTCTTTTCACTAGACTAGACGTATTCAATTTCTGCAACCGTTTTTCAAATGTTTTAGCTTCCAGCCACCTAACCATCTTCATTGCTCTTTTCTGCACATATCACCATTGTTGCCATCATGCATATCAACGCATATCATCAGTGCTGGCGTCATGCCTCACCACCAGCACTGATGATATTGCCTAGTTGGGTAATGAAACGTTTGCAAGAAAACAAGCAAGCTCAGAGAGCACCAAGGACCCTTCGTGCCTCTTGATCATAACCTTTAGGACAAGGTTGGGCAAACTCCACTTGTACAATCTATGGATTACTGTTACTATTATTATTTTTGCTTGCATATCCAAGGCAACCAATGTGTTTTAAATTTGTATGCGCAATAGCATTTGTGGCATCGCTACAAGCGATTTGAATAAACACGTGATATTTTCTGAAATACTGTGGAATTGGGATCTAGAAACACCCAGGAGCATAGAAGAGTTCAGAGGCAGATGCATAAATAAATGTCTTAAACGTATTTATTCATATAATAAATCATATTAACTATGTACAACAGAGATCAAGTCTCATGAGGAATAAACATGAAAAGAGGTCGATGGATCGAAACCATCCTCTGCTACCATTCTGTGGAATTGGGATCGTAGAAACAGCCAGGAGCATAGAAGAGTTCAGAGGCAGATGCATAAATAAATATCTTAAACATATTTATTCATATGATAAAGCATATTAACTATGTACAACAGAGATCAAGTCTCATGAGGAACAAACATGAAAAGAGAGAGATGGAGAGAGCAAGGTGGAAAAGGTTGGAGGGGGTTTTATACTCAGGGTAAGCCCCTCCTTTCCACATAGGGATGGAGACACTCTCTGCCTCCACTGGTGTCTACATGACTCATGTGCCAATGGCTTGCAAATACTTGACAAATACTTTCAAATTCTCTGAATTAAACCAAGTTAAGTCATCTAGAGTGTGCTGTCCACATTATGTCTGGACCATTTGAGAATCACGCCAAAAGCTTAAGTATCTTTGTAAAATTCCTACAACTAGTCCGTTTTGGCTGTTCTACCCGATTGAGGATTGCGGTTTATTTTCCGCCTATGTTTGATCTATCGCTAATCATATAAGTGTGTATATAATTGGATCCTGAAATGGTATAATTAAGTTATATGTTTCCCATTCTGGTTTACTGCCTTCATTGGTGGGATTGGGTTAGGATGGGAGGCTAATGAGACCAAGTCATGCGTTGAACATTCCCAAACAGCACAGAAAATGTCAAGGAAGATCTTGGGAACTGTGGTTTTCAGTCGTGGTTATGTGTGCCTTGTGTAATCTAGTGTCGGTTGCAGTTTTCCAATCCATTCACACATTAATGCTTCTCACTTTCCCTCCACCAAATTCCCTTCCGGATTGTAAGGTCTGAGTAGAAATCAAGCACGGATAATCTAAAGCAGGGATCTGCAAAGTTGGCAACTTTAAGACACTTGTGGACTTCAACTCCCAGAATTCCCCAGCCAGCCATGGTAACTCGATTTCAATCAGATGTTTTACAGGATCCCTTGTGATAGTTGGGCTTGCTAAGAGTTGACACTGACATGTCGACACTGAATGAAATCAAAGGAGTGTCGTGGATCAGGGGTTAAAGATACTGAGCTTGTCAGCTGGAAAGCTGACAAGCTTGGGTTTGAGACCCGAGGGTCGCACGACGGGATGAGCTCCTGTTCCTTGCTCCAGCTCCTGCCCAACCTATCAGTTCATGTAGGTCATGAACTGCATCAAAAGCATGTAAATCAGGGGTGGGTTCTACTTACCTTTACTACCGGTTCGCATCGCACCCATGCGTGTGTGCTCGCTTCACATGCGCAGATCACCTATGATGACATCCGAGTCAGTGGGCGGAGCCTCCCTCCGGTTTTACTACAAGTTCTTGCGAATCGGTCCAAACCGGAGGCAACCCACCACTGGTGTAAATGCAAGTAGATAAATAGTTACCACTTTGATGGGAGGGTAGTAGCGTTCTGTGCACCTTGGCCTACACTCGTACTAGCCACATGACTATAGAAATATCTTTAGACAATGCTGGCTCCCTTCGCTAAGAAACAGAGATGGGCACACCCACCCACCCCCAGAATTGGATACAACTGGACAGGAGAAACCTTTACCTTTACTTTAAGAGTTGACACTGATATGATGACACCTAATGAAATCATGATATCATTTTGAAAAAGATGGATAACTGTGACACAAAGGCTACTATCATTTGGTAAATTGGCAGCTACCGTATTTTTCGGAGTATAAGATGCACCGGAGTATAAGACGCACCTACCTTTTTTGGTGAGGAAAAGACGAAAAAGAAATCTGCCTCTGAGCAATTTTGCCTCATTGCAGCAAACAACAAACAGCCTGCTTTACTTTCAGTTTCATTTTCAGCATAGTTTGATTAGCACAAGAAAAAAAAAATCTGCTCCAGCAATTTACCTCTTTGCAGCAAGCAGCAGAGCCCTGCACAAAACAGCTGAGAGCTAATCAGCTGAGAGTCGGGAGGCTGATCCAATCAACTTGTGCTAATTAGCCTGTGCTTAAGCTGAAAGGAGCTGTTTTTTTCTTGCTGTTGGCTTGCAAGGAGGTAACTGCTGCGAGGCAGAGGCCAAAGGGTGGGGGCCAGTGGGTGGGCGGGGCTACATTCGGTGTATAAGACGCACCTAAATTTTCTCCCCCTTTTAGGGGGGGAAAAGGTGCGTCTTATACTCCGAAAAATACGGTAGTTAAAACAACCCAATCAAAGTGTATGAATATCCTGGAGGATAGTATTGAGTGGAGTCCTCAAGAGCTCCCTTTTTGGTTCCATGCTATTCCAAATTTTTAAATGACCCGCAGGATGGAATATAAGGGACGCTCATTAAATAGCCATCGCACTTAGACTTACATCCCACTTCACAGTGCTTTACAGCCCTCTCTAAACGGTTTACAGAGTCAGCCTCTTGCACCCCAATCCGGCTCCTCATTTTACCCACCTCAGAAGGATGGAAGGTTGAGTCAACCTTGAGCCTGGTGAGATCCGAACTGCCAAATTGCAGTCAACCGGCAGTCAGCAGAAGTAGCCCTGTACTACTGCACTCTAACCACTGCGCCACTGCGGCTGATGCACAGATAACATGGACAACAGTCACAGGATAAAGTGACCATATCAGGTTTGAATGTTGGGTGAGCTCCAGCAGGAACTCGCTCATCTGTGACAAGAGTTAGACAGCTTCACATGAGTATATCGCACACCTTGCTATGTGCCTTGTGGTTTTTCTACTGAGAAATAACATTTTTAAAAAGTTTAGAGACACTGGGTGGATTCGGGGTGTAAGCTCATGTGATTAAGTTGCCTCTCCATTCTTTTTCAGACCTTACATGTGAATAAGGTGATGTCCATCTTGTTTTCTGTGACCTTTCTGGCTTTTCTCTGTGGCATCCAGTCGACCAGCATGGACCAAGGGAGTTTATCAGAAGATTCCATGAATTCTTTCCTTAAAACACTGATTCAAGCTGGCATTTGGAAAAACAAGATCCCCAAACAGACGGCCAGAACTAAGGATGGCGTGCCAACCACAGAGAAGAAAAGCGAGGTGGAACCAGAGTTGACTACCAGCCAAGATATTAGATTGGGTTTCCAGCCCGTCGTTTCGTTGGATGCTGAATTACTGAGGCAGCAGAGACGGTTCAGTTCTCCCCGGGTCCTCCTGAGTGAAAATACCCCCCTGGAACCCCCTCCCTTGTATCTGATGGAGGAGCCCATGGCGCTGAACCGAACGTCTCGCCGGAAGAGGTATACCGAAGGGAAAACCCACCGCGGGGAATATTCCGTGTGCGACAGCGAGAGCCGATGGGTCACGGACAAAACATCCGCGGTGGACATCCGAGGACACCAGGTGACTGTCCTGGGTGAAATCCGAATGGGCCCATCTCCGGTCAAACAATATTTTTACGAAACGAGGTGTAAGCAAGCCAAGCCTGCCAAAAGCGGTTGCCGCGGTATCGATGACAAGCACTGGAATTCCCAGTGCAAAACCTCACAAACATTTGTGCGGGCATTGACTTCGGAAAACAGTAAACTTGTAGCCTGGCGATGGATCAGAATAGACACTTCCCTGTGTGTGCGCCTTGTCCAGGAAAATCGGGCGAACATAGGTTCATTTTTCTCTCTGCCATATAAGTTATTATGACTAAATTATATGATATGCATGTAGCATATAAAGGTTTCTATTGTTTATATATTATAAGTGGTCCTTATTTATTAAAGTCCAGCCAAGTACTATCTCTCTCGTGATAAAAGAATAGTAAAGAATGGATGTATACCAGTGGCAACATCATTTCTCATTTCTGTTTGTGATTTCAGCTCCTCCACAGCATTCCATAAACTACTTAAAAAAACTTTTAGGAAATATCTGTATTTTTACACTCGAGATGTTCATTCGGGTGACCATTAAGTGAGAGGTTTAAAAGAGGACGAGGATATCCATTCGGTCATGTCTGATACGACTTTTTTTTTTTAATTTGATTTATATGCCGCCCTTCTCCGGAGATTCAGGGCGGCTTACAATGCACTAAGTAATAGCCTTCATCCTTTTGTATATTTATACAAAGTCAGCTTATTGCCCCCACAATCTGGGTCCTCAATTTACCTACCTTAGAAAGGATGGAAGGCTGAGTCAACCTTGAGCCTGGCGAGATTCAAACCTGCAGTAATTGCAGGCAGCTGGTCTTAATAACAGGGTGCTTTAGACCACTGTACTACCAAGGCTCTTGGTGGTGATTTTATGGGCCAGGTCTATCCACATCTTCTGATCTTGCACTACTTGTGTTAAAAGACATGGGGTCAAATGTAAAAAAAGCTGTGGAGACTTTAGAAAGCGTGCAGAGAGGAGCAACAAAGATGATGAGGGGACTGGAGGCTAAAACATATGAAGAACGGTTGCAGGAACTGGATATGTCTAGTTGAATGAAAAGAAGGACCAGGGGAGACATGATAGCAGTCTTCCAATATCTCAGGGGCTGCCCCAAAGAAGAGGGAGTCAAGCTATTCTCCAAAGCACCTGAGGGCAGGACAAGAAGCAATGGGTGGAAACTAATCAAGGAGAGAAGCAACCTAGAAATAAGGAGAAATTCCCTGATAGTTAGAACAATGAATCAGTGGAACAACTTGCCTCCAGAAGTTGTCAATGCTCCAACACTGGAAGTTTTTAAGAAGATGTTGGACAACCATTTGTCTGAAGTGGTGTAGGGTTTCCTGCCTAAGCAGGGGGTTGGACTAGAAGACCTCCAAGGTCCCTTCCAACTCTGTTATTCTATTCTATCTAAATAAGTTGCTGAGACCCCTAGAGTTGGGAATGACTAGCACATGTGCGAGGGGAACCTTTACCTTTACCTTAGCCTCTTGTTAAAAACCTCCAGTGATGGAGCACCCGTGATTTCTGAAGGCAAAACTGTTCCACTGATTGCTTGTCCTCACTGTTAGGAAATTTCTCCTTAGTTCTAAGTGGCTTCTCTCTTTGATCAGTTCCCAACCGTTGTTTCTTGTCCTGCCCTCAGGTGCTTTGGAGAAAGCCTATTCCTGTCAGAACCTATCATTCCTCCTCCCACCAATTAACCCCAATTCCATAACTGTCCTTCCATCTCCACAGCACCCAATACAACTGATGAAGCTTCTGGGATAGAAGAAACCTCTTCTTCTTCTTCTTCTTCTTCTTCTTCTTCTTCTTCTTCTTCTTCTTCTTCTTCTTTCTTCTTCTTCTTCTTCTTCTTCTTCTTCTTCTTCTCTTCTTCTTCTTCTTCTTCTTCTTCTTCTTCTTCTCTTCTCCTCCTCCTCCTCCTCCTCCTCCTCCTCCTCCTCCTCTTCTTCCTCCTCCTCCCCCTCTTCCTCTTCCTCCTCTTCTTCTTCCTCCTCCTCCTCTTCCTCCTCCTCTTCTCCTCTTCTTCCTCTTCCTCCTCCTCCTTCTCCTCCTCCTCTTCCTCCTCCTCCTCTTCTTCTTCCTCCTCCTCCTCTTCCTCTTCCTCCTCCCCTTCTTCTTCTTCTTCTTCTTCTTCTTCTTCTTCTTCTTCTTCTTCTTCTTCTTCTTCTTCTTCTTCTTCTTCTCTTCTTCTTCTTCTTCTTCTTCCTCTTTCTCTTCCTCTTCCTCTTCCTCCTCTTCTTCTCCTCCTCCTCTTCTTCTCCTCCTCCCCCTCTTCTCCTCCTTCTCCTCCTCCTCTTCCTCCTCCTCCTCTTCTTCCTCCTCCTCCTCCTCTTCCTCTTCCTCCTCCTCCCCTTCTTCTCTCTTCTTCTCTTCTTCTTCTTCTTCTTCTTCTTCTTCTTCTTCTTCTTCTTCTTCTTCTTCTTCTTCTTCTTCTTCTTCTTCTTCTTCTTCTTCTTCTTCTTCTTCTTCTCTTCTTCTTCTTCTTCTTCTTCTTCTTCTTCTTCTCTTTCTCTTCCTCTTCCTCTTCTTCCTCAAAAAAAAACAAAAAAATCAGCCCATTGCCTTTTCAGAAATAAAGCCACTTTTGATTCTCTCCAGTATACTGTGTTTTACCATGAAACTTACCCTTAAGGTCAATGGCTAAGCCCGGCTCAGTGGCTAAGACACAGCTTGTCAATCAGAAACATCCCTAGTATAGGTCTCCTGCGTGAGCAGGGGTTGGGCTAGATGACCTCCAAGGTTCCTTCCAACTCTGTTGCTCTCCCATTAGTGTTCTGGAATTAGGGCAAATAATCTTACAATGTTAAGTTTAGATTTTAGGGGGTTTTTTTGTAAACACATCTGTGACGGCAGTTCATGTTGCCAGCTCCTCTTTTTTTTTTTTTTTGAAGCCAAGAAAAATATTAAACAATTTGTAATGAAAACTTCAGAGTGCCAAAAAAACACTTCTAAAAGGATCGTTAATATAAATATTTAAAAGCTAGATTTCCGCAAAATAAGGCTTTTTTAAAAAAAAATATATATATTTTTGAGCCCTTTTTCAGGATTTCCCTTTCCTGAAGCTTTGGTTGATTTTTGCTGCTCTGTTAATTGCTTTATAATTCCAATGCAGGAACATGTTCAATTTTTGGAATGCACATCAAACCGAAACCAATTCAAAAAGTTTACAAACTTTTGAAGAAAACTTAAGGAGAGAAAGATACAAAGAATATTGGTCCCCACCTTCCCACACATTGTGCTGACTGTAGAACAAAAGGATCAGACAAGTTAATCCTTTCTAGACCTTTAATCCATTTGTAATGTTCCAAAATCAAAATTCTGGTCACAATTTGGCTGCTTATTCCACCACTCCTTAAACTTGTAGTTAAAAGTTTTTTTTTCCCACTAAGGCAGGGGTCGGCAACCTTAAACACTCAAAGAGCCACAAAGGTCCTAACCGGAAGCCCCCATTCAATTCTGGAGCTGACCGGAAGTCCGGTTCCCCCGTCATAGTCTCCTCCTAGCGCGGTGTCCTTTTTCCTCTGCTTACCGGAAGTCCGGTTCCCCCACCAGAGAGTCTCCTCCTAGCACGGTGTCCTTTTTTCTCTGCTCACCGGAAGTCCAGTTCCCCCACCATAGAGTCTCCTCCTAGCACGGTGTCCTTTTTCCCTCTGCTCACCAGAAGTCCGATTCCCCCACCAGAGAGTCTCCTCCTAGCATGGCGTCCTTTTTCCTCTACCTGTCCTAACCGAAAGCCCTATCACTTGTGGAGCCAACCAGCAACAGGGAGCCGCAGCAGAGGGATGAAAGAGCCACATGCGGCTCCAGAGCCGCGGGTTGCTGACCCCTGCACTAAGGACTGAAGAAAACTCACATGATGCTGTAAAATATATCAACCCAAAGGTTCCTAGTATCTGAAAAGCAGCTAACAAGCTATTTCCGACAATGATTAGAAAAGAAAGTATGTGAATTTAGTGTCCTTTCAAAGCTGTTGTCCATTGAGCAAGATGGCCCAGTTCTCTTGCCTCCCAGAGCTTTAAACCCATCAGGGAACCCTGTTTTGCAGTTTTCTTACAGGGAGCAACTGTACGGAGCACTTGTGGGTGATCTCATATCCTCTCCTTATCCAGAAAGGAATGATTGACCTACTTACCATCTCCACCATTTAGTGGAGCTATCCTCTGTTCATTTTCTTTCCCAGAACTCAGTCCATTAGAGTAGACTTCAAAGAAATGGAGGGTTTTTCACAGATGAAAGCTCCTCAGTCCAGCTAGAGTCACTTGCAGTGGTGGGATTCAGCCAGTTCAGGCCGGTTCAGATGAACAGGTAGTTAAATTGCTGGGTGGCCCGCCCCACCCCTTCCAGAAGTCCCCATGCACCCCATTTTGGCTCCCAGGTAAGTGCAAGGAGACCTACTAGGCCCAAAATGGGGCAAGGGGGGTTGCTGTGTCCCCCCCCGTGGCCCATTTTTACTCCCAGGAGGCTGCAAGGAGGCCTCCTAGGCCCAAAATGGGGCACGTGTGTGTGTGTCCCCCACCTGTGGCCCGTTTTTGTTCCTGGGGGATGTGCAGGAGGCCAAGTGTTGCCTGTCACACCTCCTGGCCACGCCCACCAAGGCCACACCCACCCAGCAGGTCATTAGGGCAGACCAGCCCACCTTACAGGGTTGTTGCTGTGGGGAAAATAGTGTTGTGGTCCGCCAGCAGCCAGCGAAGCTGGCAGCAGAGTCAGACAGTGAGGAGACTGGGTAGGAACATGGCCCAGTCCTGGAATCTGGGGAAGGCCCGGACAAGGGCTCTGCATCGGAGGCAGAGATGGGACCAGGGCCATCTGGGAGTGATGTGCATACTCTGGAGCCCCCAGAGTCGAACAGCAGAGAGACAGAGGGAACAGGAGGAGCCTGTTCCTAATGCATGAATGCGCAGAGCTGCCAGAAGGCAAGAGCAGCTAAAGCAAAAGGGACAACTCAGTAGTAAGGCAAGGAGATTGGCCCCTCCCATAAATCTTAAAGGAGAAACAAAGGACTTGGGCCTTTTGCAGGAAAGCAACGTTGCTAACTCTATTTCCAGTCGGCATCTCTTGTTTGTTTTGGAACTTCGTGGGGCTTTGCCAAGTATGGCCTTTGGCAGAGTGTCAAAAAAGATAAAGGTTGGTGATTAAGGACGTCTTCCGAAGGACTTGTTTTGCAACTAATTGGGACTCAGCTGGGAATGAACGTAATTCTCACCTGTTACAATAAAATAGTTTTTTTTGGGACTAATTGTATATTGTAATGCCTCAGTAAGCCTAGGTCACAACAAATAGGAGGAGGAAGGTGTGTTGAACATGTCTGCCGCTTTGAGTTATTTGTAAAAATAATAAAGGCAGGATACAAATTAATAATAATAATAATAAAAATTCAGAAAGAATACTCACAGGCTTCCCCTTTC